CCCCCCCCACCCCCACCCCCTTTTGGCCCCTCTCATTTCCGTGTTGGTTTTGATTTCTCTTCCCGACGCTTTCAACTCCCCGCCGCCTCCTCCGGACACGTTATAACGAGGAGCCGTGGGATCGGCGCTCCGGGGCCTGCTCCCACGCTCCCCCCTCATCTCTCTCTCGCTCGCATCTCTGCCATCTCGAGGTCTCTGCCTGCCTCTCCTCCCGTCTCTGTCCCCGTCCCGCGTCCTGTCAGGCCCACGGGGACCGGCCCCCACCCCCTCTGGTTCTGTCCCCTTCCCTGCATGTCTGCCCCGACTGACTGTCCGGGGTGCGGCGCCGCACCTCTGGGTCCCCATGTCTCTCCGTCCCTGGGTCCTCACGTCTCTGCGTCTCCACACCACCCTGTTTTTATGTCTCTGGGTCTCCACATCTCTCCTCCCAACATCCCTGTCTCCATGTCTCTCTGTCTCTGTCTCCCCGTCTCCGAATCTCTGTTTCTGTCCCAGCATCCGTCTCTTGGGGCCCCTTTGATCTCGCCCTGCCCCTGGCGCCCCCCTGGCCCCATTGATCGCAGATCGACCGATGGGGGGAGCAGGGCCTGCGGGGCCGGGGCTGCGGCCCTGGCAGGGGCCTGGCAGGACACCGGACACAAGGACGGACACACAGCCCCGGTGGCTGCAGAGGGGGAGCTGCCTGCCTCAACCCCGACCCTCCCAGTCAGTCCGTGCGGGGCGGATGGGGACTCCGGGCAAGCTTTAATTTTTAATTTTATTTTGCTTCCTCCATACCCCCCGCCCCCCATCTCCACCGCCCGCAGCCATGGCACCGAATGTGTGTGCGCGTGTGCGTGTGCGCGCAGCAGTGTGGAGAGGGGCTGGGTGGGCGAGAGCGGCCCTTCCTCCTCTCCCTGCCAAGCAGCTACACAGACCCACACGCCAACCCAGGCACACGCACCACACTGCCACAGCTCAACAAAGTGACACACACCACACTGGCACACACAACACACAGCACAAAGACGTGTGATGCACATGTCCACAAACTCATACACATCAAGACTGTCACAACTGACACACATCACATAGACCCACACAGCAACCCAGGCACACATACCACCATGTTTCACACAACAGACAGACATGCGTGTCAAAATAGTCACACACACATCATCATGGTCATAGACATCAGCCCAGAGACAGACACACAGTTATACACAGATATGAACGAGACACACAGCAATTCAGTCCCATACAGAAACAAAGACATACAATCATAAATCACAGACAGACACACACTAACATAGGCACACTATCATACACCAAGGCTCACAATCAAATACAGACGCAGAGACCTACAATCACACACTGACACAGTGCCACACAGAAACAGAGACACACCCAGGCATACACGGCAGCACAGCCAAGCCAGTCACACACAAGTGACACGAGAGCACACAGAGTCACACAGACAAGCACCAGAGACCCTGCGTGCACACATGCTCCATCATGCAAGGAGACAGAGGTGCACATACCACACCAACACAGCCAGCCACCGCAAGGCCACAAACACGGCCTCATACACACACACACACACACACACACACACACACACACACACAGAGCCACACTCAGACCCACAGCCCAACTGGGTGGGCTGGGCACTCAGAGATAACCCCACCCTGGGGTCCTGATGCTCCTGCCATCATCTGTCCAGCTGTCTGTCCATCCACCCATCTATCTGTGGATGTCCCAAGCCAGCCCCTGCCCCTGCGTGTGCACGTGTGTGAGGCGCGCACTGGCCCAGGCCTGCCTCTGCTGCTGTCTCACTAGAGACAGATCCCAGCCTCTCTCAGGCCTACTGGGTGTCAGTGTCTCTCCTCTCTCTGTCTCTCTCTCTCTCAGGGTCTTTGTGGCCCCATCTCTCTGTCTGCCTCTATCTCCAAATATCTCCATCTCTGATTGTCTCTGTTTCTCGTCTCTGTCTCTGGGTGTCTCTGTCTCTCCCCGTCTCTGTCCCTCTCTGTCTCTCCCCATCTCTCTTTGCCTCTGTCTCCTCACGCCCCCATCACCCCGGCCCCCTGGGCTGGGGTTTAACCAGTTGTTTTGATTTCTCTAAGCTGCTCCGGCTGCCTCGGGAGCCGCCTCAGGCCTCACACCCTCACCCCAGCCCCTTCATCCCTCACCCAGCACCCCCCCCCCCTGATTTTTTTTTTAAATTTCATATCTTCTCTGGGGCTCTGTCTAAAGAGGAGAGAGACGCGGCCCAAGACCCTTCTCCCTTGGCCCCCTGCACGCACACGCGCACACACCCCGACAGGCACACACATCACACCCAGACACACACACACACACACACACACACCAACACTCCATCTGCACCCACCCTGGGGACACACATCTCCCTACACCACACACCCATGTAGGACACACCTGTGCACACAGTAGAGACACGCAGCAGGCCCCGGTGCACGCACACACTCTCTCTGGACACACACCACTAGGCACGCTTCACACACCACACACACAGTGTCCCATCTGGGTGTGCACAGCCGGATGCCTGCCGTCACACGCTATATTAGCACATGCTCACCGCACACCTGTCTGTACAGATTATGCCATGTCCGTGCCACGTCCAAACCTAGGCTGAAGAACCTCCCATCACTGGCACCAATGAGACCCCATGGCTGTCCGGGGGAGGACGGGGTCAGGAGGGTGACAGGAGCTCTCCTGCCCGGACTTGCCCCACACTCCCCAGGTCACCCTCTCCTACCCCTGCCCACATCCACCAAATGCTCCGGCCTGACCCTGGGCAGGGGTGTCTCTGTGTGTACACACACACACACACACACACACGCACACACCTCTCACTACTCTCCAGGGCACACAGCGTCATCCCCACAACAGCCTGGCTCATTTAAGAGCTGGCTCATCCCCACACAAAACACAGGCACCCATGACACACACACAGCAGTACCATACACAGGCTGATGCTCACACGACATCAGAGGCTCAGCCCCACACATCGCCGGGCATTGGTTCACACAGTAGTAGACACATACACCATCCAACAGTCACACGTGACTACACAACCACACACACACAGCCTTCAATACCCTTCATGGCTGGTCATACATAGTACGTCACTTAATTGTCATGAACTCCTTATCCAGCTCGTTACATCCAGCCTTCCAAATTGACTGCGCGTGCGCACTCACGCACACACACACACACACACACACACACACACACACACACACACCATACATGCCTGATCCCAGACTCAGACACAAGCCCACAGGCTCAGACACACAACAGCACCCCCTTAACAAAAAGGTATTGCCACACATGCTCACACAGCCAATCTGTGATACAGAGATTTGCGGGGATTTTTGTGACCATGTCCACAGCTAGTCCTTTGCCGTGTTCCTCACACGCACACTCACCAGCCTGGCCCCTGGGGTCCCGCCTGGGTGGCACTCTCGGTCCTTCCACCCCGTCTCCCTTGGGCTATTAAGGCTTCTCTTCTCCTGGACCTCAGAGATGTGGGCTGTCCTGTCCTGGTCACTCAGACACACCGTGTGGCCACCTGACTCGGAAACTCCAGACACGGCAACAGCCCCAAAGTTTTGGGGCAATCACACACCAGACAGCTGAGCATCACACCCAAGTCACACACATGCTCATAAACACAACACGTGTGGCTTAACTCAATCCCAAGTTCTCACGCACGCAAAGTCACTGTGCCCAGGAACACACACATCTCCACACGTCACATTTACACGTGCTGCAACACAAGTCACACAGTCCCACAAAAAGACAGCCAAGCCCCCACCACCACACTGTCACACACCACAGACACACACAGTCCAGATAGCTTGCAAACGTGCACAATGTGCGCGCACGCACACACACACACACACACACACACACACACACACACACACAAGGGAACCTCTGCCCAGGCTGACTGTGCAAGACAGACAGAGGGGTAGTTTGCCAGACAGATGGGGCACCGGCTTCCAGCCTGGAGAAGGTGTGTTTGTGGCACCGGGTATGGGGTGCTTGGGAGGCACGAAGCCAGGGAGGGATGGAGACCTCACACCCACCCTCGCCCTGTCTCTCCCTCTAGCTGGCGTCTCTGTCTGGGGCGGTGTGTGTCTCTGTGGGTCTCCGTCTCTCTCCCTGAGCCCCAGCCTCTGCACGGATGTCCCTGGGGCTGTGGCCAGCGCGCGGAACGGTGTCATTGGGGGGGGGGGGGGGGGGGAGGGGGGGGGGGGGGGGCTGGTGAGGGAGCGAGCGTCCCCAGGGAGGTGGGAGCCGCAGTGCCACGCACCCCGCCTACCAAACAGCGCTGGGGGAAGGGAGAGGGAGGGAGGCGCAGCAACCGCAGACGGACCCGGAGCCCAGGCTGCTCCCCCACGCCTGCCCCTCCCCTGGGAGACCCAGATAGATGGAGGAAGAGCAGGGGTGGGGGGAGACAGAGAGGGAGAGACACCCACAGAGGGAGAGAGACAGAGAGACAGCGTGATGGCGAGAGAGAGACAGAGAAGAGGGAAGCGGCACAGAGCAGGAAATAGATTGGAACAGAGATGGGAGAGAGCCAGAGAAAAGATGGGAGGCCAGAGAGAGTCCCACAAAGACAGAGAGGGAGCGAGAAGCAAAGAGAGAGACAGAGAGACCGGGACAGGGCGGGAGATAGAGTTAGGGAAACCCAGGAAAGGGGAGTGAGTCAGAGAGGCTTCACAAAGTGAATCAGAGCTGGAGGTCACGGGGAGAGAGCTGCTGGGAGGAGAGACCCCGGGTCAGGGGGGAAGGAGGGGAGGGGGCAGAGATGCGGAAAATTGAGGGATTAGGGCAGAGGCAAAGGAGAGGGTGAGGGAGAGCTGCGGGGAGCTGCAGGACAGAGGCCGGAGCCACAGGAAAGTGAATCGGTCAGCTGGCCCAGGCAGATTCCAAGTGGGGGTTCACGGCCACCTTGACACCCACCCTGGCCCTTCTGCGGTCCTGGGCGGGGGGTCAGTGTCCCCACCGGGCCTGACCT